CAAAGAGCAACAACTTATTTGTGCAATTTGCGTTATGGTAATTGTAGTACAAACGATAATAGCAGGCAGGGAAAAAATTAATATTCATTTTTCGGGGGCTACTTTTCAACCTTGCCTGCATGAAAATAACATTCTAAAATTTGTTTTGCATTGAACTCTATGCAAATTTACTGGGGCTCTTTTCTGATTTTCGGGGGCTCTTTTAGGCATTTCGGGGGCTAATTCGCCCCGAGCCCCCGTGTATTTTTTTCACTGATAGCAGGTGAATGAAATGCTTCATCACCATGCACACCTGGGAAGGAAGCATCCATAAATTTGAATACATTTACTTGATAAACGACTTCACATAGTACGTCACTTTATCAGGAAAAAGGCAATGTCCATGTCATGCTGAGAAACTGTACATTATTCTTGCTTTATGCCTCTCTCATACACTTTGGTGGCCGGGGAATCTTGTAGACTATTTGACAAGAAAATCATAAATCTCTCAGAATACCACATCCAAATTATGTGACTGGCAATTAGTCTGCCATCAAAATTTGATTGGGCAATCTAAACTTCATCTTTTCATGATTCAAATACAAGCTACTCATAAATAGAAAAGCAAAATGTGATCTGTAAAAACGGCATTAATATTTTTAACTCCTAAACTTACTTTTAATTCTCGCCAAAAAAAAAATTATCATGCAACTTTTGGTGTTATAAACATGTTAATTAATTTGTATATATTAACTGCTACCGGAAATAGAAAACAGATGAAAAAAATGTTTTACAAAACTCCTAAACTTTGGTTGTTACCTTTAGTTCTCAGTATGCAGCTTGTGGGGGATGATCCAGTTCCTTGTAGCATTGCTACATGCATTTTCATACACAAATTATTTTGGGGGGATCATATTTGTATGAAGGAGAAAGGGATAACATTGAAAGAAAAAATACAAAATACAATATCCTTAAAATTATTTTCCAACTTAAATTTTTTATGATATTGAAAGTTAGAGAGAGAAGAGGTGGCACATTTATTTTTCATTGTTATTCATTAAATCCAGAATAGAGTAAAAAGTTGTAAAAATTTGATGCCCAAGTGATTTGCAACTCATCATATTATTTTGAATTGTTTTATTAAGACAGTAGAGAAAGGGGTAAACCAACTAAATTCTTACAAGAAGTTAAGTGTGGTGTGTACTTTGATTCTAAATGTATATAATATTTGCTGTATATCATGATTTATGTGATTATGTATAGAGAGCTGTAATATATTGATGATATAAAATTGATTGTATGATATTGTACATGTCAATTATATGGAAGATTATTTGAATTTTGAATGAAAATGTACATGGCTATGTGGCCCTTTGTTATTTGTAGTGAAATACAAAATCGGCTGAAAAGAAAATATTTCCGGGAGTGTTTCTTTTATATTGAGTACCATCTGTATTTATTCACTTATCCTCATTTATTTTATTTCCATAAATAAATAAGGAACTTGGCAAATGTTCTTGTTTTATGAATGACTGGAAGGAGAGTATTTAGAGTAGTATGGATCAATACCAGCCAGAGGATTGCTTTCACCCTTAACCTTGATGTGTGTTTTTTATTCCGAAATTTTCTAGAATATAGGAAACATTCTTCACATGTCCTCGAGTGATAACAGCCTTTTCCATCAGAGAAAAGGTGTCTTAAAAGCCCCTCTAAGGTGTTGGGAGCCAAAAAAATTGTTGGCAAATTTTTTTTTTAAATTACCGGTAGACAAAGATGTGAAAGGGTTTGTCATTTAACACACACTTCTCCAAGGATTTTCAAAACAAATGTGTTTCAAAGATGAGTATTGATGACAGAATGCCATATTTTGGTTTACTGTTGTATGCAGAAAACCTTGATTTTTTTATTCTTTCATCAATATTCGTCTTCAAACACATTTGCTTGAAAATCATTGCAGAAGTGTGTTAAAATGACAACCCTTTCACATCTTTGTCCAATTTAAGTTATTAATTACCACCAAATTTTTGGAGCTCCCAACACTTTAGAGAGGCTTAAGTGAAAGGGTGTTATACCTAATATAGTTTTTGATATAGATATACATCCTTCTGACTTGATTGAAGAAGTTCCTTGAATACCAACAATTCATGGGCACATTGCAAATGGCAAATTCCATAAGGGATCTTGACTTTTAAAAATATTCAGAACTTCCTTTTCCTCAAACTTTCTCTGATCTGTTGTTGTTTTTTCTGCTTTTTCAGTAAACACTTGAGCTGCACGTCTTTATGAGAGATGAACTTTTAAAGTTCTGTATTTATACTGTAAGGTTTCATGCATGATCACGTATCATAGCACCCACTCAAGCGGTTGCATCAACACTGTCCTTGGCTTCAAAATCAATAAAATGCATTTATGAGTACTTACAAAGCTGATCACACCCAATAGATGAACTTGCCCTAGTTATTAGAAAACATACAAGTAACTAAGAGTGACTCGATAACATTGCCTCAGATGCTGAAACAAACTCCTGAATTTAGCTCATGCTGCAAAAACGCCTGAAATCATAATTATAAACCTTTAGGTCAGTCAGGAATCCAATGACTTTTCAAGCCGATCGCCTGTCTGATTATCAAGATATTATCAAGATATTTATGATTGGAAATCGAAAATCAAATTTTCCGTTTTCCTAACGGTTTTTATAACACTACAGTCTATTGGGGGGAATGAGTATGGTAAAACCGGTCACTCAAAGATTTTTACTTTTTTGAGGCACTTCATGATCATTTTGAAGCGCAATTTTTCTAGGGCTTCAATATTTCACCATATCAGAAAAACTGATAACATGTAGGGCCAAGCATTTCAGATTTAACATTGTTAAACGATTCCCTTTAAAGCTTGGAAAATTCTCAAAGGTTAATCGCAGATCAATCATCATCGTCATCATTGTCATGGAAATATAATGTATGAGCGGATCCAGGATTTTGTAAAATAAGGGGGCACAATTTTTTTACAAAGGAAGGGCCACACCTCTAAAGTTGAGGACTTGAGATAATTACTGGACTTTGGTTTTAAAGATGCAAGGGATACAGACCGGAAGTGCCCCCTCGTCCCTCCCCCTAAATTTACCAGTTTTAGATTCACTTCAAACGTGACCCCCTCACTTTGATGTCACATAAGCCTCGCCTACATTCTAATATGTATGGGTGAATGAGTGCATTCATATACAAGCCATGACTCTGCAGAAAAATTGCAGATATGATATAACGGGTAAAATTGTGAACTCCTGTATGAAATCACTATCAAAATTAATATTTGAGCATTGCCAAGAGAGGGCAGCATTGGATCAAATCCAATGGATTCATCAACTCGACTGCTCTAACACAACCTGCACGTTTATCACCCTTGACCTGCTATGATAAATATTGTAAGCCAAGGAAGTAACAATTAATAAAAATTAATTATGAAAAGTAATGAAAAGTAACTATTAATAACCCCATGGAGAAAACTTTCAATGTGTGAGGTTTACATAAAAAATTGACTGGCAAAATTCCACAGGAAAGGATAAAAGTTAGCCTACTAGATTAGTTACGTTCGTAGAAGCTGACCTATACCCCCCCCCCCCCCCCCCATTTCTATCTCCTCTCTCTCTCCCCCCCCCCCCCCCCCCCCAATCTCTCTCTTTCTCTCTCCCTTTCTCTCTCCCCATCTCTCTCTCTCTCTCTCTCTCTCTCTCCCTTTCTCTCTCCCTCTATCTCTCTCTCTCTCTCTCTCCCCCCCCCCCCCCATCTATATATCCTTCTTAATTTCTCCTCCTGCCACCCACACACTCTTCCTCCCTCCCTCCCTCCCTTCTCGTGCATTTTTTTTTTGAGGGGGCGGAAAAACAAACTTTTCAGGAACAAAATTTCAGTAGTATCAGGAAGCTGTAATGAATGGAGATACCGTCTCGAAAGAATTTTCCGAGGGGAAAATATTCAAGATTAACCTGGCTTAACAAAAAGAAATGTAACCCTCTCCAACCATCATTTCCATCAACAGCTGTCCATATCAATGCACAGTCCGTCTCTGGAATTCCAAATAGTACGAAATGTTACGCAACGCCATCTGCTTCCATAAGTTCTCTATTCACTCTTTTGCAAATATATGCAAGCACCGAGCTTTGAAGCCATGCGTAGCACCGACAAATTAAGTCATGTTCAGTGAAGATGTATTTAGCTGTAACATATAAAAGACAGAATTAACAACATAAGACCAGTGCAACTTTATATTAGTCATCAAGTGCTTTTTCTGTTCTCGGGTAGCTCTACTGAAGACATGGCCATTTCAACCAGCGAAATCGACCAAGGAAATCGTGAGTTAGAGCGAATGAAAGGTTTTCATCATCATGATTTTCTCATCTAATTATTGACATTTTCCGAAAATTTCCGAAATTTGTACATAGCTAGTAAGGTAGTCTAAAGGTTTATCTTCCTAAATAACTAAATGAAATTGTGTTGTATGTTTGCGCATTTATTGATTGAGGGCTAGAAGTTGTCAAGTTATCACCACTATTCACCCCAAATACGGGCCCACAAAGCAAAAGCCGCCGTGCTCGCTGGGCTGGGCTGTGTGTGGAAAGGGAGGACCTAGTGCTACTAGGGAGCTGTACGGTTTCGGAGGGGGATTAAGGGGATTACGGTAGGGGAAACAAAAGACGCGCGGTGCCACGGATGGCTTCAAAGGGGCCTCTTGGACGGGATCTCCATTCATTACAGCTTCCTGGTAGTATAAAACCATCGTCAAGTTACGGGTGGGCGTGGCAGAAGTGGGCGTGGCAGGGGCTTGTCGGCACTTACCCGACATGAACCGCAAGCTTCCTTTTTTTCTTGCAGAGATAATGTGAATAAAGACACGAAACTGTTGAAAAACTGCAACTGTCCTCTCTTTTGAAAGCATTAGGAGGACTTATCATTCGTCTAAAACTCTAAATCATATTCCAATCATGTCATGTGTATAATTTTTCATTTATGATTTGTTCCCTCGAACATACCCAACGTGTCAACGTGTACTTCCGTAGTTTCCGTAAACAAAGTATCGACAGGCTTTGTCCTGATCCTGGAGGCTATTACCTCATTTCCGCCAATGAACAGTTATTCTCTCAAGTGCTCAGCTCAATTCATTGCTTTGAACGTGGATGATTTCAGCCAACAATTCATTTATAATCATTCGAATCCAACCGAGTAGGCGTGAGTTAGTTCTACAGACATTCGACAGCGATCTACCCCGCTCCTCTCCCGTGTCTTCACCTGACGCAGTGGTAGAGAGTTCTGTGAGTTCCTTGCTTGCGTGTGGCGGTTCAAAACGAAGCGAGTCTGTATTTGAGGTTCCAAAACGACCTGGAAATAAAAATGGATTCCGCTGATACACCAGTTAGACAAAGAAAGAAAGTCACAGCCGACAACGCTCGTGGTGATTTTGACCAAACCGAACAGACTGCAAAAAATGTGATTCAACAGGAAGAGGATGACCAAGTCCAAGATGATGGTCATGATGGTGTGGACTGCAAATGTGCAATTATTATTTTGTTCCTCGTGTTTGCTGTTGTGTTTTTAGGCAGCGTGACCCTGGGATCTAGATTTTCCCTTCCAATTTCTCTATTTAGCACACTTAACAATAGAATGACAGGACAAACAGAACAAAAATTAAATCCCACGAAGGCCACATTTCATGACAGGGAACAAAAAGCAAGTGATTCATTTCATCAAAAAGATTATGATGGTCATGTGCGTGAAAATAATGATGGGTTTTCAGCAGATGAAATCCTGATGCATTCTGAAAATCAATTTGAGAGAAATGGAGAGATGAAGGAAAAGCCTTCGAAGCCTGTGTTGGACAAACAGACAATCCTCTGGTGGACTGATGCACTGTTTCCTCATTCTCATCGAGGTCACATCTCGAACATCACTTGTGGAGAGCATACTTGTTTGACAACAAGCGACAAACGGGTGTTGTCTGACCCACTAACAAGAGGTATTTTATTTTATGGAACAGATTTCAGAGCATATGAGGCACCGCTACCAAGAAAACCATGGCACGAGTGGGCGCTGCTTCATGAAGAATCACCCATGAATAATTATGCCTTGGTCCACGGCATGCGGCTCTTCAACCACACAGCTACTTTCAAAAGAGGATCAGACTATCCAATAACGACACACTCTCTTACAAATGTGGATTATTTAACCGAGAGGGAACCTGTTCCAATTGAAGAAAAGAACAGATTACGAAAGAAGAACTTTGCGCCGATACTCTACGTCCAGTCTCACTGTGACGTAGCAGGAGACAGAGATAGATTCGTCAAGGAGCTTATGAAACATATACGAGTTGATTCCTATGGTCAATGCTTGAACAACAAGAAGATTCCAGAAGATCTGAGCAATCCTATTGACTCAATGGAATCAGAACAGTTCTATGACTTTATCTCAAAGTACAAATTCCACCTTGCTTTTGAAAATGCCATTTGCGATGACTACATCACCGAGAAGTTCTTTCGCCCGCTTCACGTCGGATCTGTACCAATCTACCGAGGGTCCCCCTCTGCCCAGGATTGGGCTCCGAGCAAGAGATCATTCATCGACGTTAACCAGTTTGAATCCCCAAGGCAGCTTGCCTACTTCATCAAACTCCTAGATGAAAATGATGATATTTATTTAGAATATTTGTCGTTTAAGGAAACGGGCATCACAAACAAAGCCCTGGTAGATCACATGAATAATCGCGACTATGCCATAAACCAGTGGAACCTGCACAGCTTCATCTCTGGTTTCGAGTGCCACGTCTGCAAAAAGATTTCCGAGCGGTACAAAGCTGAGCTGGACCCTAGTCATCCCGCCCCAGAGAAGAAGATAGGAGATAGTTCTCATATGGGATGTCCACCCCCTGCACCCTCAGTTGGAAACATAGAAGATATACCTGCAACCGAAGGGTGAGAATGGGATAGATTCATGTAATACATTCTGTAATCTGTAGGTAGATCTAGAGGTGCAAAAAAAAAACAGCCACCCTTGTATATTGCTCCCAAGCAGAATGGGATGAAATCAAACCATTCATAACAAAACAAAAGTGCATTCTGTTTTCTTTTTTCTTTTGTTATCCCTCTTCATATTTTTCTTAAAACTTATAGTTATAGTGATGTGTTTTGCTTTTAAATAAATGTATCAGGATTTACAAGGGTGGTGGAAATGCATCCATACCTGTTTATGAATAGGAGGCAATTATAGTCCATTCTAAACCCTTGCCTAGTATATTGCAGATTCCCTGTGATTGACTGCTTCTGTTTGTATGACACAGCCATTTTCTAGTTTGGGATTCCTGTTGAAAGTTATTATAGACTCTGTCTATAACTGGAAGGAAAAAAAGAATACGGTAGTCTGTGCTTCCAGACTAAGAGGATACATATCTGTGTTACAATAGCTTTCGTGTACATACCAATCTGGCAATCATACAAGATTCTTTCTTTCCAAACCGACACCTTTTTTATACCTGGGATGATTATTTATGCTTTTTGCTTTTTGTGATCTTTTGCAGGATTCATAACTGGATTCAGGACTACTGGGGAATGAGGGACCAGGTGGTCGCTCTGGAGGAAATGATCAAGGATGGTGCAAAGGATTCTTCCAAACTCTTTGAGGTCATGGAGGATATTTATAATGAAAACCATCGGCCTTGAAGCACATCTGGATAACACAACATATTGGCAGCTCCAGGATAAATTTTGCATATTTGTCAAAGTCAAATTGTCTGACAAATACAGAAAGTAAAAATAGCAATGCATTATCATTTTCTACTGGTAATGGGGCGTAATATGTATACAAATGTAAAAATAGCACTGTTCACCAGAGGGCATGATCCTTTGTCCCCCCCCCCCCCTCCTCCTCCCCTTCAACAGCACTTAATAGATGATAACCATTAACCATCGTTTGAATGCTGGTGTAATAAAGTGCTCATCCGCATCTACCTGTAGGCCATTTGTTAGGCACATTTGCATGTGCAACGTGAAGTGCGTGATGATGTTTTTGAATAACTTGCTGACAGTTTTATGATTGCAGGCAGTGTCTTTATTCTTTCCATTCAGTTGAGGTTTTCTCTATATTGCACAGACCTCTTTCATGTATGTACATGTAAGGATAAGAAATTAAGCAATTTCTTTGTTTCATCTCAATTTTTGTCTATCTCAGTTGAGTAATATAACAAGAATTTAATATTGTTGTTATGATTTGTGTAATTCTTCAAGGGAATAGGAAAATGATGGCTTTATATTTTGCACCAATTAAAAAAAATAGTAATGGAGGGATTCTATATATATATATGTAAAAACAGACAAGGCATTTCCAATCACATATTACCTCAGCTAAAAATGTGTATTTGGTGAATTTGTATATCACTGTTCAGATATTAAATCACACATTCTAAAGATCCTAGTGTTTCATGCCTTGCATGCCCCGGTTGCCCCCAATCATTTCTTCTGTCATGAAAGTACTCACTGATAGCATAGGTGTAGAGTGAGTATTCCACCTATCTTTATATTTAAAATAAAATAGCTTCAGTTTCTTTTTCTCATCAAGATCATAAAGTTCAAGTATATTTTTGAAATATGTCAGAGGAGAACACATGTATGGTATCACTGTGCATTACATCCGCCTTTCCAACCATATTGAACTATAGATGAAGATTATGGAAGTTAGACAGAATAACTTTCGTACTTGGTGCTATATAAAATTGCAGGCTGAATGAAAATGCTAATATACTTGCCAAAATATTTTTTTTTTAAAGAATATGTAGTGCCTTGAATTTAAAGAAATATGGTCAAAGGATATCTATCTTTTTAATATTCTTTCACTGATGTCAGTCTTTGTTGTTCCCTTTTTACTTTATTTACAGGATGATTAGAGCAGTTCTTTTTGTAATTGCTAGATGAAAAAGTAACTGAAAGTATTCTATCTAATTATTGTAAAGCATTTTACATTTACTTGAATGCAAAGTTTGATTTGAGACACCCATTTACTGCGTGACTGAAAAACAATTCGTAATTCGTAACTCATGCCCTGAGCAGAACTCAAAGTTGTCTTTAATTTGAAAACTTTATCTATAGGTCACTAACTCACTATGATAAAATCTGTATTGGTATTGTCTCATACTTAGTGTCTTCCAAAGTTTTATGTGTGCAATCCATGAGTTATTGAGAAACACAATAGTTCAATGCATATATGTTTGTTTTTTCTTTAATATAAGTGAAAGAACGTTGTATATAAAATCAGGAGTAAAGTTAGTTGCTTGTGATGTGATATTTTGAATTAATGACATAGTGGTATGACTTATGCAATTATTATTATCATTTGTTTGTTTTTAATTGTGTATTGTTAATTTTTTTTTTTAATAGTAATAGTAAATGACAAATGATGCTCTATGATTAATACATGTATATGCAATCATGACTTTGGAAACAGATTCAACTTTCATCTTCCAGCTAGAGAATATTTAAGAAAAAAATACAAATTATTTTCTGGGCAACAAAATGTGTTCCTTTGTCTTGTTTCACGATATCATTATGGAACCACAGAGTCTTTTTTTTTAATGTGTCATAGATATTATACTTATCATCAATGCAAGAATGAATCAAATTTCTGTGGTGAAAGTTGATTGGCTATGAGTACTTTCAAGAGAAGAGTCGTAGCTCTGAAGAAAAGGCAAAGAGGGAGAGGAGGGAGAGGGAGGGAGGAGAGAGAGAGAGAGAGAGAGAGAGAGAGAGAGAGAGAGAGAGAGAGAGAGAGAGAGAGAGAGAGAGAGAGAGAGAGAGAGAGAGAGAGAGAGAGAGAGAGAGAGAGAGAGAGAGAGAGAGAGAGAGAGAGAGAGAGAGAGAGAGAGAGAGAGAGAGAGAGAGAGAGAGAGAGAGAGAGAGAGAGAGAGAGAGAGAGAGAGAGAGAGAGAGAGAGAGAGAGAGAGAGAGAGAGAGAGAGAGAGAGAGAGAGAGAGAGAGAGAGAGAGAGAGAGAGAGAGAGAGAGAGAGAGAGAGAGAGAGAGAGTGCTTCACCCTTGCCATTTCACAACTATTTCAGGCAGTGCAAAAGCATCGTGAACATTATGGACTGAATCCTGCAATTTTTTCCTTTTATTTGTTACTTCCTCAAGGACACCATAGATGTTTTGGCGACAATAGTCAAATCACTGACTAATCGCCAATAACTCAAAACACAACAACAACAACAACATCTTGCTCCGATCAGCTGGTATTGATTCCCCTTTGGGCATTAATTGTTGATTATCTGAGTGACTGACCAATTAATAAATAAACAAGGAGATGAGTGCTAACAAATGGAGCTGGAAGATGGAGTCCCTGAATTGTAGAAGATATTTGAACCGGGTATCTTACTCAATATTGCCTGTAACCGGTGCGATTAGCCACACCGCTTTTGCAGTGCACATTTTGGATCGTTCACTCTTGGGAGGGTAAGTCCGCGCCGCGTCCGTGGGTGCAGTGCCCCGTGTCAGTGCAGTGCTTTGCTAATGGGTTGAATGGTGATGTTGTAGGCGTGGCTGTGGTTGAATACAAAGACATCAATAAACAGATTTTTTTTTTTTTTTTTTTTAATCTGCAAAAAAAGCTTAGTACAGGTTGATTGATGGATGTAACGAGCAGCATTAAATTACTGTCTGTGTTCTGATAATGAACTGTTGTAATAAAATTCGTTTTGGAAAGTAATTTTGTGAATAAAACTCAACAATCCGGGCCGGCTGGCGCTGGCCTGACCAAAAATGGATTCAAATGTATTTTAACCACTAGACTCTACTGTTGCTTGCATAATCCAAATTATTTATTCATGTCCTCGCACAAAGATTATCAATTTTGTATTCAAAATACTAAATTAATAAGTTATCGCTTGCAAGTTTTTCAATTGTAACCAAAGTAAACATATTCTGTTTCTTCTGCATAAGCTACATGTATATTATAAACATTTATATGAGGTCCCTTTTTTATGATGTCCATATAGCTCTGAAAGCCATGTGATATTGATACATGTAAGTACTATACACCCATATTTTGTAATGTGGATTTCATTTTCATCCTTGTTTAGATGTTTCCCGAAATGGCACCTGGCAGTTGCGAACGGACTGTTATTCAATGCTCATCTAGGTGTCGGACTCTACATCTACAGCCGGCCGTGTCTCCAAAAGGCTAGCATATCCCACCGTGTCCTCTTTAGCCTCTACGGCAGCGCCATGTTCAATTTTGGATCTGTTCTTCTCTTCGGAACGGGCAAACAAGTTCTTTTGGAAGACCGATTGATAGGGAGCATCTACGCCATTCTTGCTAGTCTCTGTTTTCTGTGCGTGGGGAAGTACTTCTTTGATTTCCTGGATAGACAAGTAGATAGTCGCGTTGATGTTGATGACATTGACAATGTCACTGAAGCTGTGGTAGAAGAACTAAGTACTGCATGACAACTGGATTTCACTGAAAACTGAGGAAGTATTCTTTCTTTGGACTACCACTACCGTATACGAATAAATGTACATTCAGGAGAGTTGGGTCCAAAATATGCATGGTTATAAATGCAAGATGCATTTTTGTTATTGGCCCTACATCTCCTCTGACCTTTGCTCCAGCAACAACTACTTCAAGTTTTGTTTGCATCAAAGAAATTGTTTAGGACTTAGGGTTAGAGTTGTGATTCGGTTTCAGGCTAAGTAAGGGTAGGTTTAGGTGTAGGGTTAGGGTTGGGTTTAGTGTTTGGTCTAGGGTTGAAGTTTGTTATTGGTTAGCGTAGGAAAAGTGTATTCTTTATTTCTGTCTTCTCCTTTATTTTTCGGGCTATACTAAAGCCAAGATGCAATATATAGTGTGATGTAAAGAAGAGTTTGCATAATTTTGGAGACTAGGTATGGTCTGAATATGCTATGGGTATGGTGTATCAGGGAGCAGTATTATAACATTAATCTATATGTTTTGGGGGTGCTACCCTTTATAAATAATGAATTAACATGCAATACATTTTATCAAAAAAACTCATATTGTCATTATAAAACAGTACTATATTTTAGAAGCATATAGGTAGAATAATACAACTGCTGAATTAATGGGATTTCAAGCGCTTACAGTCTTTGTTGACTTACATGAAGTGTCCAATTTGTTCTCACAAACAATATTAGTGGATGGGCTGAAAAAGTAAGGTACTTGCTTGTATCTGAAATGAATATAGTATACCGGTGAGTATATTGCTATTCAACTCTTTGCAATGAACTTTATCAACTCTTTAGTTAATATATATATGTATTTAATAATTTAAAAGTAAATACTTCTTTTTATGACAAATTCACCGTAATACGTGCTCGTCTGAAGTGTACATGTATGTACAAAATAGTTATTACTTATTCAGTAGTTTATTTTTACAAGACTTTTTTTTTTAAATCCTATAAAGATATCAGTTTTGAAAAACACAAAATGAGAGAAAAATAGTAATTTTTGAATACTAATAAAGTAGGTTTTATGTTTTAAAATAATGTAAGGATATAGTTTGGGTGTCTATAGATATTTAGAAACCATTTGTAAGGGATTTTTTCCCCCCCTTTTTTTTTCTTCCTTTTTTTAGCTTGTCGTCTACTTAATCATGTTTTGATTCTCAGATGTTTTGCTTGGATAAGAAGCATGTAGCAGTGTACCGTAGTGCTATAGTGTTAATTGAAAGTGCCATTTTTAAGTTTTATTTAATATAAAACTTCTATAAATATTCAATAATATTGGGGCTGTAAGATAACCAACAACAACCACAAAATAGTTTAACTTCTTATTACACCAAATTTGAGTGATTTGTGTTTTTGTTGGATATCGGAACATTAGCAAAAGTAATCAAATTTTAGTGCTGATCAAAACTTGCAAACTGTAGCGATTTTGTCAAAAACTCAATGCATTTTCTAATACAGTCAAACCTGCCTATAGCGACCACCCAAGGAAAACACAAAAAGTGGCCTTTGTAGACAGGTGGTCTTTGTAGACAGGTTCCTTTAGTACATGATTCAATGAGAAACCATTTTCAAGGGAAACAACAAATGTGGCCTTTGAAGACAGGTGGTCTTTGTAGACAAGTGGTCACTAAAGCATGTTTGACTGTACAACAATATGGAACCTAGAGTTCTACCATAAATACAGAATTACATGTACATAACTTGCCCTATTTTTAAGCTATCAAGCCATTACAATGCTGACTGTACCCTTTGTTAGCAAATTTGTTTGGAATCATTATAATGAGATGGTATCTGCCTATCTCTTGGACATCAGATCAGTGCTAATATATTTGTTGCGTACCTGCGGACAGATGGATAACTAACCTTGCACTCATCTATTCTATACTAACTTCTGCTACTTATTATAACTTCTTACAGTGTATGTGAAAGCATAACATGAGTTTATAAAGAACTTTTTTCATTGTCAATAACTCCAACACGATTTACATGTTGAAAATTAAATTCATGTAACTGATCTTGTTTATAGATGTGTGCTTACTTCTATTAGGTCTAAAAAAAGAAGATTTTGTATTGCCCTTTCGGTGCCAAAACATGAGTCGGTCGATCAGAAATTATTTTTTTAAAACTTTTTCTTTTCTTTTTTTTCTCCCTCTTTGGGTTGATATTTCTCAGTTTTTAATGCCCTAACATTTTTTTTCTCTAAAAAACGGTAGAAAAAAAAGCTCTTTTAAAAAGCCGACCATAGATCTCAAGATTGGGTCGGTCGCAAAGGGCAATCCAACATTTTTTTTTTAGGCCTTTTGCATGATAAGTTGTGTGAGAATAGCATAACAAGAATATATCTTTTTTATCGTTTGAAGCTGGTTTAGAAGGAGAAAATATTCCTGCCTGTTTGGGTACAAGACATTGGTCAGTTTGTGCAATTTGTGATTTATCATGAAGATTTGATCTATGATTCAATAAAATTAATATTTTAAGCTTCTTTGTTATGTGCATCATTATTTGTGTACTTTAATGTGATACTTTCTTAGTGAAAGCAGATACATTCTGGGGGGGGGGTGGGGAGACGGAGCGAGAGAAAGAAAGAGAGAGAGAGAGAGAGAGACTGTCTGAAAATGTTGCTTCCATATTTTTCCTTTTGATGTGTCATAATTTTGTCTGTTTGTAGTTGTTTTGTTTTTGCTTGTTCTTTGTTTTTATTGCTTTTGTTTATTTCATTGTTTTTAGTTTATTTATTTTTTGTTGATGCTGCTGTTGTAATTGTTATTTTTACAAGTTTGTTTGTCTTTTGTGGCTCAGTGCCAAGTTACTATAGTCACTTACCGACATCGGTGCTTACCGCCCGTTGCATGTAACATACATGTCGCCCTCTTGTGGTCTTGGATCTTTTTATGATTCCCCTTTATACAAGAAAAGCGGTATTTGTGTGTATGGACAAAAGGCGATCATTGTTGTTTTTTCTCTGTCTTTCTTTCTGTCTGTCTTCCTTTCTTTCTGTCTTTCCTTTTTTCTCCTTCTGTAAGATAAAGATACACTAGCAATTGTTGTTTGTATAAATACGAAGATATAGGCATAATACATCAACAATGGCATTACTTTATGAAAGGGAGGGTTGACAAAATATGGTTCTTCTATACCCCTCCCCCAACCTTGCACAAAAAGGTTGAATCCCCCCCCCCCAAAAAAAAAGAATAATAAGAATAATATTATATATATATATATATAGGCTTATATATTCGTAGGAACATGCAAAACTTAATGGTGCCTTCAAAATGAAAGTATAGTATTTGAGCTTATATATCACAATTAAACAGTAAAAAAATACTATTTTCATTAAAAGTATTGAAAGGTTGACTCGGGACAGGGTCGATCTGTCCCCCCCCCCCACATCTTTAACATGTGAACATCATATCAAACTTTTTCCACGGGCCGGGGGGGGGGGGGGGGTACTCGCCGCAATATACGGGGACGTGCACGCCGCTCTAATGGGCCCTTTCTCGCTAAAAAAAATACCTGAACATGCCTCATGATGGGGGTATGATTTTGTGCTGCAAAACCCCTTAAAGTTCTCCCACTTTTCAGATCTTGGCCTTAAACATGGGTTACCATTTCTTCAGGATAATATCTCACCCATAATCTCGCTAAAATGAAAATGCAAAATGCAAAATACCGCAACTGAATAATTAAAATTATTTCGCTTTTTTCATCCAAAGTCCTCGCCGATGTTCACACAGATTTATTTTGAGCTCCGCTTCTGACCAATAATTTTATACGGCAAAAAAAAAAAAAACATGGGTTGCGTTTTGAATGGCCGGTACCATTTTCTGCCAGAATGACCCTTAAACATGGGATATATGGGTTAATTTAGATGAATCCCCGTCCAAACCAAATCTGAGTACCAGCCCCCCCCCCCCCCCCAAGGACTTTTCCCTTTTCGGGAACTGACTCCCGTCCCCACCCGAGAACCTAGTCTACTCCAAAAAAACTTAATTTCAATAGAAGCAGAAAAATCAGACAAACCAATAAAACATAGTTAAATCGGATAACAAATAAGGAAGTTATGAATCACTACACAACTTGCCAATCAGTTTGTGACGTCATTGCCTCACTATTTATTAATTGCTTTATATATTTTTATCCAATTTCCCTTTTTATCCCCAAAGATTTCCCCGTGTCTTTGCCCAGGTTATATAATATTGCGTGCTTGACATTTCATAAAATCTTTTATGTACTTTGAAGAATTGATACTATTTTCTGAATATTATATTGATAATTATTGATTCTTATATAAATGGTTTATCAAAATTCAAATTTTTCATTATTCAACTGAAAAAAATTACTCTTTATTAGTGCATCCACACAAAAACATATTATTTTCAATATAACTTGGATGGTGCATGGTGTGGAAATAAGATTCTAAGGGGGAAATGGGAAATTTATATTATCAATTTAAAGAAAACAATTAGTGGATAGTGAGACATGACGTCACAGACTCATAAGTGAGTCGCCAATTTGTCTTGTGATTTTCAAAGTATTTCATGTCAATAAAAATTCATAACTTTCTTATTAGTTATCCGATTTTGCTCAAACTTTTTTTAATTGGTTTAATTGTCTGATTTTTCTGCTTCTATATTATAAGTAAGTGGTTGACTTTGGCTTTAATAATTATTGCTCTCGAACGGTCGGATTGGAGGGATGACAAAGTTTATAATAGGCACAGATCTTTTTATCCTAGTTCATTTTAATCATATGAAATCATCATAAACACCATGGCACCAATAATGCGTTCTTAAGCCGTTAAAGCGTTCAAGGCTTGCAGTTTACAACAATAGGCCAAAGGAGTTTAATCACAGAGTTTATCAATAGGCCTATCCGCTGACATATACCCTGCATATGAAAGCCTCTTCGTTTGATTTGATCAATGGAAAGTGCAACGAGTTTTTGTTTGGCATGCTGTCACTAAATATAAATACTATACAAAAAAAAGACCCTCAATGGGACCAGCCCGAAAGTCAGTTGATGCTGCATTTGCATGCCAAAGCGGTCAGAGAAACACCATCGATCTATTCAGCAGAGGTACTGAAACGTGAAGTCGGATTCGTAACTGATGTTTGGCATAAACTTTCCCAAAATACTTATAGAATCATATTTCCTGTAATGCTCACACATAACATGTTAGGTAATTTGATAACACAAATCATAATGATAAGAAATCGTAGAAATTCACACGCTTTTACTATCATATTAACTTGAAAGTTTGGTATAGCCGACACGATTCGCTTTTGATCCCCTCCCCCCACCCTCATCCCAGAGCTATTGACGTTAGTTACCCGTAGCAACTGTACTGAACCCATGCAGTCTCTATACAGTGCAACCACAGTGGCTCAGCACGGCAGGACCCCCGAGTAACTCAAGCTTTGACCCCCGTTAGCTCTCGCTCCCGTACCGTTGCATCGCGAAATTCGGCGCGGCGCACGTACAGTACGAACATTTACATAGCGTTAAGCATCGTAGAGGTTGACACACATTTCTCGTTTACATTTGTGGAAGAGTAAATTTAATCTGTGCCCTTGTAACAACTTCAAGATGATGGACAAACGTTCACTGTGACATCAGAAACCGTGCTTAGATACATTTTTTGCTGGTGAAGAAGCTTCTGTGGAACCCTGTAAACAGCAAAGCTAGCCATCTCATCAAGCGTGATAGTTTATGAAACTTCGGATCTTCCCCTGTGTTTTGCGCAATCTTGTCGTGGTGGCCATCAAGGTCTCTCCACTTTCAGCTAAAATAGACAAGGTCTAGGTCAAGATTGTGTACCGATCTATTCGTCTACCCACAAATTCGGCTCTGAACGGAATTACATCTTTAGTTATAAGTCAAACTCTGTTTTGAACTTCTTATCATGTAAACATGGAACCTTAACCACGACCACGTTCATCGGATTGTGCTTGTGAAAGAAATTCAAAAGGCAGAGCAATGTTCACTTCGTCAAAATGAAAGGTTACAAGAAAAGGAAATACAGGGCGATTATACAAAACAAAAGAACTTTATTATCCAATTCTGCAAAAATACATCGGTAAGTTTTGTAGTCATAAGATTAAGATTTTAGATAATTTAGATTCTATTCAAATCTAGAGTCTAATTTCTAAATCTACAAAAACTCTTAGTTTTACTTTTTTTTTAATGTCAATTGACTTGTTATTGTCATGTCTCATGATGCATATCTAAAAAAAACTCTAAATCAGTATGAAATTCAGATCTGACTGTAGTCTGTACTTGTAATATAGTTTAAGTATTAGTTCAGGGACTAATTTTCCTGGTATCGCATAGCAATTTGCTATGCATTTTTTATATGACTGCTAATATACAAAATATCATGTGTGTAGCAATTTTCTTCCATAGTTAAAGTGTACACAATTTCATTTGAAACATTGATCTATCCGCTTAATTTGCTTATCAAGTTTGAGGATGTAAATTTATTCCCTGTAGTTGTAAGTGACTGTAAGACTAGTATAAGATGCATAGAACATTTTGCAATTTTAGAGTTTGGCTGAGGGCTGAAATGCAGAATTTCTATGAACAGGAGGCGAGTTGGCTCAGTCGGTAAAGCGTGTGCCTGTTGAACCAAAGATCCTGGGTATGACTTCCACCCAGGCGGATGACTGAAGCCTGCGTTGTGTGTTAACGTGCCCCTTCCCTTGTTCGTAGACGCAGGCTATGTCAAGTGAAAAACACTCGGATAGGACGTTAAATGGAGGCCCTGTGTACAGGAGAGTCACCACCCTTGCACGTTAAGAACCCATTGCACTATTTGTATAAGAGTAGGGGGAAACCCCTGTGTAATGGTCCACCTGCACACCCCAATCAGGCCGAGTATGCGGCATATCTGCAAGAATCTTCAGTATTGATGGAGGCAGATTATCTTGAAGAAGAAGAAGAAGAATTTAGCATTAGGCACTAGTTCAGAAGCCTATCCAGACTTTGACCCGGAGCTCCGGCGTGGAGATACCCTACTAAAACATACCGAAAATTAACTAAATCTTCATCAATTGTTCAATTAATGGTCATGATTCAAAATTTGTCATGATTCTTATCTGTTTCGTGTGAATTTTCTTATCTTTTTTGGAGTATTTTTCCTAAAAGTACACTTTGACAGGCTTACAAGTACCAAAATTTGAAATAAGTAAAAATACTGTATACCAACAGTGTACATGTGCATGTATTTCAATTGATCTCTACCATCACTTTCACTTTACAGTTAGGGTAGCGGAGGTCGTTCCCAAGCAGAGCGAACCCCCCTCCCCCTGATGAAGGGCCCCGCCCTTGCCATGGAGAAATACGAAAGCTTTGGCCTGGTTGGGGAGGGAAGCTACGGCCAGGTGCTGAAATGCCGGCACAAGGAAACCAACCAGGTGGTCGCCATCAAGAAGTTCCTCGAAGGAGAGGACGACAAGATGGTCAAGAAGATTGCCATGAGAGAAGTCCGCATGTTGAAGGTAAAGTACACGACTCTAGAAAACTGGAAAAGAAATATTAATTCAAGGCTAGATATTAGAAAATACTTTTTTAGCAATAGTCGGGAAGCTGTGGAACAGTCTCCCAGAAGATGTTGTGGCAGCTGGGTTGGTCAACTCATTTAAGAATAGACTTGATAGTCACTGGTCAAAGAATGCAAGCCTTCAGTATGACATGAGCCAGTCTAGGTGTTGTCTTTTGTCTCATGTTAGCACACAATCTTCTTCCTCCACAAATAGCAGTAACCATGGAAGAATCCTGGATCAATGAACAGGCTTAGACCTACATGTACAACATCCTGTATTAAAGTAAAGTAAAGTAAGAAAGTTTGCCCCCAAAGAGCTACAGTATACATGTGGTTCCTGCTTTCATAACTAGGCAATTAAGAGAGTCTGTCATCAAAGGGTTACACCTGTAAGAATCAAATGAATTAGTCGTTCTCCAGTACCTTGGTCGCACCCTCAATGCGACACCAAACCACTGCAAAACCAAATTGACTGATTCTTGGCCAATCCTGGATGCATGGTACAGTACATGTATGAGTTAGAGAAAGTTCCATGACTGCCTATCAAAGGTGGATACCAGTGCTATACAAGATAAGCCATCAATGTCATCTTCAATTTTCCCTCTTTTTTTCTGGTGTTTTTCGGTGTGGACAGTCTGATGTCGGTCTCTTTGTGTGACTGGGTTATAAATTAGAATCAATCACTCTCACATTAAAGAGTGTGATAACGAACAGTGAAAATTGCAGCAAAATAATTACCATTTGGATGTGGTAGACGACTAAATGTTTTGATGTCGAAAGTAAACTAATGTAGACTCGTCATTCACCTCAAATACTGAATAAATAGCTTTTCCTAAATAGGCAGCACTTCTTACATTATAAGTCTCTCAAATTGCAGCCAAAGAATTGCCCATTTGAGTGTAAGGGTATAAGAAGATTATTTGAGTATTTTAAGAAGATTACTCTGGAAGAGATTTGAATACAAACTCATCAAAAGAGAGGAATTTTTCTAAAATGCTGAATGAAAAAGCTTTTCCTAAATAGGCAACACTAACAGTCAAATGTTGTATCAAACTTCCCCAAGTCTAAAAAGTGTCAAACAGTTTAATTATGTACTGTAACTTGTTTCAAATTTATTATTTTATATTTATCATAAGAGTGTGCTCTCTGAAACAATTTTCCTAAATTGAGTCACACGTACATTGTACATTGTACAAAATACAAACACACAGCAAAAGTTGGGCATTAAATACAGTACATGTTCTTTAATACAATGATACCAAATTTACATTTGCAAGTTCATCAGTCTGGCAGTGCAGCAGTATAATGCAAAATCCACAACCTGTTTACAAAGCCCACCTGTTCACTTAGACCACTTTTTATTTTTTATTGTAATGAATAAGGGTTACACTTACATGTAGGCAATTTCAAAGAACAAATACAGAGATACTGAAGCATTTCATCTTACACTCATCAGAGTAAATTGAAAGAGTATTAAACACAAAGCCCAAAATATAAACAGAAGTTAAAGGAACAAAATAATGGTCTGTGATTGGCTGCTGGAAAGTACATTGTAGACATAATGCCAGCAGTTTAAAGAAAATGGGCTGTAACAATACTTGCCAGAATACATGGAATGTAGCACGATCACAGCCCGTTATTTTTGGGGGGCGTTCTTTGCCCCTTTAGCTTCTGTTCACGTTGTCTGATTTTGGTTTATTTCTGCAATTACTCTGATGGGTGCAAGACAAAAAGCCTTGACAATGGACCATTTACATGATGTACCTGTTATCAAATTTTAAGCACAAATCTTTGCTTTAATAGTACCTTAATACAAATTATTGATTTCATCTTTTAGGAATATTTGTATTTCAATTGTCAGAATGCGAATTGCATACATTACATGTTGCTAGGTAGGACAAGCCAAACTGATTGTCCTACGTGATGTACTGTACATAGCAACAATTAATGGTTGCAATTTGTTATTCTGACTATTGAAATACAAATATTACTAACAGGTGAATGAAATAATTTGTAACATTGCACTTATCAAAGATTTAAATGCATTGAATTTGATTGCATTACAAAAATGGTCTATTTAGTTACAGGTATCTCTTTCCTGAATCTCTGCTTAATCTCTGATTACAATGTAAACACAGTGGGATCCAATTATGATACACTTCTGGTTGTCATTCAAGAACACAATGGATGCATGAAATTGGAGAGATGGTTCGCGAGAGCCCAGTGATATTCAATAATAAAAGTATTGTTGTTTTGTCTCGATTAGATCTACACATGTTCTATGCACCATTGTACCTAGTCAAGGAACCATGGCAGTGCAATATCAGTTGTACACTGAAGCTAAGCTGTTGGGGGTAAACAGGATAGTTTTATTCAGTTAAAAACATCCAGCGTTACTACGTTACATTGTACTCCATTTCGGTCAATGAAAATGCTGGAGGTGTATGTACAGTATACCGGTACTTGAACTGTTTATTTGTTATTGTTCATTATTTATTTATTTATTCATTTGTTTATTTATTCATTATATCTCCCACTTGTGGGGTGAACCACCCTGATCAGCAATTTTTGTATATTTTTTTTTATAGGGTCCAGTGGACTCCAATCATATATGATATGCAAATACATGCAAGTTCAATTAAGGTGGCAATATGCAGTCTTAAACTCAAAAGACAATAACATTAGAAACAGCATGCATACATGTACAAGCATGTCAAGACAAATACATTCATATGACCATTGCTTGTTTGTTTTTGTTTTGTTTGTTTTGGGGTAACACTTCATAAAGCCATTTAATAGTCAGTATTTTTATAAAGAGAGCTTTCATTATATTTGGATGAAATAAATGGATAAAAAAATAAGAATGAAATAAAATATATGGGACACATTGCCCAGAATTGCCCCTGCCTGAAGTTGCTCTCTCCTACATTTGATCAGTGATTTCTCTCTCTCTCTCTCGGTGCAGTGATACCCGACAGAAAATGACTATCGCATAGAAAGCAAGACAAATATCAGACACATCTATCTTTATCAAACACCTGCCAGGACTTCCCCTACAATTGTCTCCCCAAAGATCATCGTGATTGATCAGGATATAGCTCTATAGCAAGAGCGTGTGATTGATGCGTTGTTGAATTTGATAGTTACCATGGTAACGGGTGAACATACATATTCAACCAGGTGCTCCTCAATATCAATTCAGGGTTTAAATGTTATTTGCAAAGTGCTTTTATAATGTTAATTATGGGAGATTTGATTCAATCTTATTTTCTTGAGCCGGGTGTTGTTCCTGGGGAATTAAGGAAGCAATTTCAAAGAGATGAATACTGAACAGACAAATCCAATATGTAGAAATAAAAACAAAAATAATAGATTTAAAAAGAAATCAAACACTGTCACTGTACTGTACATACATACGTGTATTTCCACTTAGTTAAGTGGCTTGAGGGTATTAAAGATAATGGGTGGTATTCCGGTAGCGCATACTAAGTTAGTCCACACTTTTATGGAGTGCCAGTTGCCAACTCATTTACCGTGTACAGATTATTTTAATCCTTCAATGAAAAGTGTCCCAAAAAATTAATTTTGCAATGAAATGGGAAGAAAAAGATAATATGAGTATGAACTGAATTTTAACAAAGTCTTTCATAGATTATCTTTGTCATGAATATTGAAGGAGGAAGATGAAACCTAGCATTCCATAGAAGTGTGAACTAAATTTCTTGTTTAGTCTGGAGCATACAACCCAATGAAAGCAAAATCCCTGTCATGATTTATTATTTATAAAGTAGTCTCAAACAGATGAGTTTCTTTATTTAGTGAGGAAAGTAAGCCCAAAAGTGCTACAAATTAATACTCGAACACCATACTCAATTCAATTCAGTTTATTCCATTCCAATGAAATATACAAAACAGAATACAAGCATCAAGCATGACAGAATAACAGTATAAATCCATCAAGAGTACAAAATAAGGTAAATGATGAAACAATAAAGCGATACATCAGATAACAACACAAGATTATACTGGCCTTTAATAACTGATTAAGGACCTGTTTCATCAACAACAAATTTTATGCTGAATTTCTATGACAAATTTGCTCTCAGCCAATCAAATGCCACAAATTTAGTAGGTTTTTATGGCCCTGGTTATACAAGTACATGGAACATGTACAAACAAATCTGTAATATCTGGTTTTTGTGAAATCATTTTTTTTTGTGAAAGCAGTTTGAAAGAGATGAGCCAGGTTTTATGTTTTATGTTTCATGGCAAAAGTTAAGTGACGAAAACTGTTGCAATTAGATTATGCAACCGATACAATTAAAGAATACACTGTCACCATGCACTCCGTGAGTAATAACCAGCCAGGCTATCATAACGTATTATACTAAAAGCACAGCTAGCTTTTGTCTAGTCCTACGGCCGATCAATACTGTTCCTGTGTTGTGAGGGCGACCGCTATTCAAGGCCTCGATACCCATCTCTCGCCGGTATTGATTTTTTTCTTCTACTTTGACTGCACTCCAAGCAACTGAACAGCGTCTAATTCAGTTGTACTTTAATCCTGTACGCTTTTCATGTGGTCACTTACTTTGGTTGCCTGTCGCTCTCATGGTCATATCTCAAGTTAATGTGACGACGAGGCATTGTGTTCCAGGCCTCCAAAGCTGTTGTATCGTTAGACCACAATTAAACCTCATTGATTCCCAAAAGTGTCCCTTTACTCTGTAGGTGCTACACTTGTAGCATTGATTTATTTGCAAAATAACACGGTGAGATTTCAAGCTAAGGGAGGCCCTCTCACCACAGCCTTCAAACTATTGCTTTTTAATATGCATAATACATGTGTGTACATGATGACTATCGGTATCAAGGGTTCATGTGTCAATTTTGAGGGATACCTCTTTAATACATGTACTGTACATGTACATGTAGGTGCGTTTAATGTAAACAAGAGCAAATCAATATTAAAAACAAACTTGCTACATTCATGATATGCAGCACCTACATGTACATGTACATGTAGCTGCTTTAGATTTTAGTAGAAACATATATGTTCATGTACAGAACTGAACTATTATTACATTATGTACAGTATCTTACTTTTGTTGTATTATTTTTTTTTCTCAAAATGCTCAAACTACAAAGACCTCTTTTAATAGCAGACACTGTTGTTTAAATTATTTCTGTGAAGACCTTGGCTTTTAAAATTTATACTATTGGCAATTGGACTACAGGTACATTGATTGTTGCTTCAAGTTCACTCAAATTGTGTGGACTACAAACAAAAACAAAAACAAAAAAAGAAAAGAAAATATCAAGGAAGAAAAAAAAAAAATTAGTAGAAAATAAATACATTTTTGAATAGATTTTCCCTTCATTAATTTGCAATTATTTTTGTTTCTTCCTCCTGCTTGTAGTTCAATTTTGTGCAATCCTATGTTTTTCTGTCCTTGCATATTCTTTCTCTTTCTCTCTCATTTGAGCAGTGTCTCCAACATGAGAACTTACTTTAAAAAAAATAATAACATAATAATAATAATATTAATAAATATTTAATATTTATGAAGCGCACTTACTGTACTTTGAAAGGCTCTATACAAAACAAAATACACAAATCTCTCTCCAGAATTTAAAAAACATTATATCACTTGTAACTCTGAAATAAATAAAACCGTTTTAACATGTTTCTAGGCATTGAATGTGTAAAACATCATTCACTGTATTCCTGTTCTGACATCAATTCTTCTCTTTTATTTTCTCTCTTGAATATATAGCAACTCCGACATGAGAACCTGGTGAACCTGATCGAGGTGTTTAGACGGAAGAAGCGTCTGTACCTGGTCTTTGAGTTCATGGACCACACGGTCCTAGACGAGCTGGAGAAGTACCCCATGGGTCTGGACGAGAGCCTGGTCCGGAAATATATGTGGCAGATCCTCAAAGGAATCGAGTTCTGTCACATCAACAATGTAAGTAATTTGTGTGGAATAATTGAATGAGCTCCTTATAGAAGTCTTAAAGGCCATCTGTACTAGTGTGAAGGAGGGATTAGACCACCCTGCAAGGTCACTGACAGGTGGCTATCTCATCAACTCAGCTCTCAATTAATATAAGAAAAAGAGGATAATGGGGGACCAGTGGTCACCGATTAGGCATTGTTTGCTATAGAGGGTTTAAGTAGCTACATGTATAAGTAGTACAGCGGGGCTTTAAGGAGAGCCTGGTCCGGAAATACATACTGTGGCAGATCCTCAAAGGAATCAAGTTCTGTCACATCAACAATGTAAGTAATTTGTGTGAAATAATCGAATGAGCTTCTTATAGAAGTCTTAAAAGTGTTTTAAGCTAGAGATAAAGATGTTCTTTGTAGGTCTTCATGGAGATTAAATCCAGAGGTGATGTCTTTCGATAGCCGCATGTGCTTGTAATCCAGGACCATGGATGTTATTAACTTCAATATGAAATATTTCTAGAAGAACTGTAATACAAGAAAAATATATGTTTAAAGCACATTTAGATTTAAAAAATTGTTAAAGTTACCCTTTTTGCAAAGGGACCTTATTTAAGAGAATTCACTTTTGGAGAAGGAAAAGGTGGAAAAGGAAATCAAAGAAATTATGTAATAGTTCAAAGAGGAGCTGTGAATATTTTTATTTATAATTTACTGATGATTTTGACTCATTCCATAAAAAATATGATGTATACTCAAGTACTAGTTGCAGAAACAAATGGCAGAACAATTGATTTTTCTTGACATTGAACAAAAGGATAGTTCCTGCAGTCTAGGTACCGTGTCTGATTCAAGTAAGCAAAAGCCCATTTCTTAAATATGCATCAATGCATTTTCTGATTATACAGTAGTTGCTCTCAAAGTAGGCAGGGGAAATTTGTAGACATTTAAGCTGCATTTGCAAAATTACAAGCAAAAATCAGTGTTTTATCTTACATTCCGGTGTTTCGTCAGTAAACACCAGCACACCACGAAAAAACAAAATTGAAAAATCCACCTCAGGGGGGTGTTTCACAACGATCCTAAGTAGAACTTTACTCTAAGTTGGACTTAAAAGTTATGGACAGCCATTGGAGTCTTAAGATGAAATATATTCAAAAGCAGAAATTCAAGTATTTTAGACTTTTTATGAATTCAACATCCAGAACATGAAATCTCCTAGATGATAGAAAATATGAATGATTTGAATCAACATTTTATGCCTTTTAAAATAACTTTTACAAAATATTTTCAAGGATGCTAATGGCTTTCCATAACTTTTAAGTCCAACTTAGTGTTAAGTTCTACTAAGGATCTTTGTGAGACACCCCCCTGGAGTGTGATTTTTTAAACACCTGCCGAATGTGCACTACTCACCCCAAAATCGGTATGAGCTAACACCAACATTTTTGATGGGTTTTTCCAGTAATGTAAATGGCAGTCCCCAAAAATGATGATTTTTCAAAATGGTTTTTGGGATGTGTAAATGGGCATATTAGACCATGGGCTTTTTTAATTCCGTGGTCTCCGACTGGGAAGTACCTCCAGTGTACACATGTGCTAGATATCTTGGAAATGTGGTAACCCGACACATGCTCCGCCGACGATTGCTCCGCCGACATTTACTCCGCAAAACGCGACAATTGCTCCGCGACATTTGCTCCGCGACATTTGCTCCGACGTCAAATGCTCCGCCGACAGTTGCTCCGCCGACAGTTGCTCCGCCGACAATTGCTCCGCCGACAGATGCTCCGCCGACAATTGCTCCGCCGACAATTGCTCCGCCGACAATTGCTCCGCCGTCAATTGCTCCGCAAAACGCGACAATTGCTCCGCCGACATTTGCTCCGCCGACATTTGCTCCGCCTGAAGCGACACTTGCTCCGCCGACATTTGCTCCGCCGACAATTGCTCCGCCTGAAGCGACAATTGCTCCGCCGACATTTGCTCCGCCGACATTTGCTCCACCGACATTTGCTCCGCCGACAATTGCTCCGCCGACATTTGCTCCGCCCAAAAAGTGTCCCATAAACTACAAATGCTACTAGTACTACGACAAATGCTTCGCCGACAATATTTTCTTTACACCTATTTTTTTCGTTTCTTTTTTTCTTCTTCATTTTCTGAATGCATTTCTTGAAATAATGTAGATGAAATGAAATGAATGAATGTTGATGAAGTGGGAGGAAAAAGGAGTTACCTAAAAGTCATTTCGAATATACTGAAATAACTTTCCATCTATCACTGTACGTCCCATATAATGTATACTAAACACTCATTACATGTCGTGGGAAGTTTTTTAAAAAAAGTAGAGCAGCAAGCCACATTCCCCAATACGCGCATACCTCCTAGTTAATTTCAAGTAGCTCATCAATATGTAATACCTGAAATTACCTCGATCAATGCATCTTACTAGGTAAAGCATTATACAATGTAATAGGTCATCATGGAAGTTTAGAAAATAAGTAAGGGGGATTTACCAAGTGTTGATCTTTTTAATTAAGAGTTTTATAAAGAAACAAAAAGATATTGAATATTTCTCAGCGAAAAAAAGGAACAAGCTTGTTTCGCATTTTAAGAAATGGCGATTTGACTTATGATAGTCATGTTGATTTAACTTTTATTCCTGTGCCCCCTCACTCCCCTTTATGCACTGGAGTTCAAACTATGATTTATATGTGTACAGTGTATTTTTTTTTACTATAATGTTTTTTTTTTATAACTTTCTTGTCCTTTCATTATTGTTAGTTGTTCTTATACATATTGGTTTTTTTTTGTTTGTCTAATTATTACCAATGACTTGTAAATATGTAATTTTTATATGATTGAAAATTTAATAAACACACAAATATTTAAAAAAAAAAGTTTAGAAAATAAGGGCACTTATATACGTAAGGAAGAGAACCCATTCAGACGGGAAAATGAGATGGCAGCCTTTCTGCTTATTCACATTTATACAAATCATTTTGTTGCAGTTTGATGTTAGTTCTTCATGATAAGCCAATTGCTCTTCTTCCGGTGGCTTCGTGAGTCCCTTAAATTATTTAGTGAAAACAAAGTACTCGAATGAAACGGAGTGTTTTGCACACTAACATATATATATTAAAGCTACATACACTTAACTAAAGGAAAGAAACCTTTAGAAAATGGACTGGATATTATTGAAAATATTATTCTAAACAAGAATGTACTACATGATTGTATTACTTTACGTTTCAATTTCACGAGAGAAATAAAACTCGAGAGGGGGAGCAGAGAAGAAGTGATGGAAATGAAAGAAGACTAATAGCATGAGAGGAAAGAAAAGAGCAAAGAAGACAAGAAAGCGGTGTAAACAGGAAAAGGAGGAGCATGGGAGAGAGAGAAAGAGAGAGAGAGAGAGAGAGAGAGAGACAGAGATAGCCTTGAGCTTTGGATCAGCTAATGAGTAATACATGAAACAGATTTTGAGCGGAGTAATTATCTTTCGCCGGAGAACTTGCGTAAGGAGCTATAATTTTATTTTTTATTTTTTTAAATCAAACATTATGGGGAATAGCAAAAAACGGTTGTCTTTTTTGCTCTTTTCTTTCCTCTCATGTTATTAGTCTTCTTTCATTGAGGTAATTTCAGGTCTTACATATTGATGAGCTGTTTGAAATTAACTAGGAGGTATGTGCGTATTGGGGAATGTGGCTTGCTGCTCTACTTTAAAAAAAAAAAACTTCCCATGACATGTAATGAGTGTTTAGTGTACATTATGTGGGACGTACAGTGATAGATGGAAAGTTATTTCAGTATATGACTTTTAGGCAACTGCTTTTTCCTCCCACATTATCAACATTCATTCATTTCATTTCATTTACATAATGTCATGAAATGCATTCAAAAAATGAAGAAAAAAAGAAAGAAACAAAAACAACCCGTGAAAAAAAATATTGTCGGCGAAGAATTTGTCGTAGTACTAGTAGCATTTGTATTTAATGGGACACTTTTTGGGCGGAGCAAATGTCGTCGGAGCAAATGTCACCGGAGCAAGTGTCGCTTCATGCGGAGCAAATGTCGTCGGAGCAATTGTCGGCGGAGCATATGTCACCGGAGCAATTGTCGCTTCAGGCGGAGCAATTGTCGGCGGAGCAAGTGTCGCTTCAGGCGGAGCAAATGTCGGAGGAGCAAATGTCGGCGGAGCAATTGTCGCGTTTTGCGGAGCAATTGACGGCGGAGCAATTGTCGGCGGAGCAATTGTCGGAGGAGCAATTGTCGGCGGAGCATCTGTCGGCGGAGCAATTGTCGGCGGAGCAACTGTCGGCGGAGCAACTATCGGCGGAGCACCTGTCGGCGGAGCATTTGACGTCGGAGCAAATGTCGCGGAGCAAATGTCGCGGAGCAATTGTCGCGTTTTGCGGAGTAAATGTCGGCGGAGCAATCGTCGGCGGAGCATGTGTCATGGAACCGGAAATGTGTATCTGAAACTAAAATGACTTGTTCCCACGTTTGAAACTTGAGCAGTAGCGAAGGTAGTTACATGTACATGTAGGGCAGAAAACAAAGAAATAGTTAAGAATTGGTTGCTAGGGACTTTCCTCCCTAGCAACCATAATAGGGGAGATATTTAGTGGCATATTTTGCAGGAAATATATTAGTATTGTTTATCGGAGCCAGAAGGGCATTAATTCATATATATTTTAACACAGGGTTAATGCCCATTTAACTCTCAAGAAATGATATCAAAGGCTCATTAATATATTCATGTGCTGCTAACTCACGCATCTGTTTATACTAATATGTGCATGTGTCGATGAACCTGCAAGAATTTTCAACTGTGAAGGAGGTAGGCTTAACCCAAAGAAGAAAAAGAACCTTCCCCTAATGAATCATTCATTACCGCCTTTGATACGAGCCCTGGAAAGACAACGTGGTGTCAATTTCGCAAACCAGCTGCATTTTCTTTCCAATTTGATATTGATTATAAGGTGCAGTGGGGATGATGTTACCCTGTAGAATTCTCCGGGCAGATTCTCGCTCATCCTCATCTACTGGGCGTGAAACATACATCTGCATAGTAGTATCTATGACTGTATCAAGTGTCCATCTATAGGAATATACTGTATATAATGCAATGCATACTTAGAAAAAGCATTTTCCAGGATAGGGTATTTTTGTGGAGAAAGGAGTAGGAAATTAGGAATACATGCTTACCAACAGGTAGTATCAGAATTGAACATCATTTGAGCAACCAACTTGTCAAAATTACTTTCCACTTTTTAAAAATGTTGTCATTAACCTTTTTGTATTAAAGCCAAATATATATACATGTATGTACTTGGATGACTTGTATATACAGTATATGCATACAAAAGCTACATGTATATACTGTAACTGTACACAAAGGTATTTGTACATTGTACAGTATGTGCATAGCAACAGCCCATAGCAACAGACTACATGTCAAGAATAAACAGGTATCATTTTGTGCTTGTCTTAATTACTTTGTAAACCACCCGTACAGTAGTACTTGAGTGGAATTTCAGCAACCATCGGTGGAATACAATGTAGTAACAAAATATCTTTGATTGTTGAAAGTGGCAAAAGAACTTTAGCACACAACTTTCTTGTATCAGTAATTCCAATACCGGGTTTGTCAACAGACACATAGTTAAAGACCAACTGTTAAAAGCAATTTGGGAGTAGGCATTGGACCGCCATGCCATGGATATCATTTAGGTTTAAAGGGATCCGGTAACTTTGTCTCAGATTCTGAAACCAATTCCTGGATTTAACTCATGCTGCAATGATAATTATAAACCTTTAGGTCAGTCAGCTAACCCATGACTTTTACAAGCAGATCGCCTGTCTGATTATCAAGATATTTATGATTGGAAATCAAAACCCAATTTTTGTTGTTTCCTAACGGTTTTCATGACACTACAGTCTATTGAGGAAAACGAGTATGGCAAAACCGGTCACTCAAAGATTTTAACTTTTTTTAGGCACTTGTTGATCATTTTGAAGCACCATTTTTTTTTTAGGGCTTCAATATTACACCATATCACAGACACTGATAATACGTAGGGCCGTGCATCTCAGATTTAACATTGTTAAACGATGCCTTTAATACCGGTAAGTCAATTCTCAGGGTTGGTCTGCGCTTCCTTATTCCCAGTTTGTTTCTGTCAACAAGCTAGACAACTGCTTGGAGTGTTTGAACAAGGGATGATGATGGCATGGTTGAGATACACCTTTAATTACACGAGTGTGCTTTGGGTGTATCTATTGAAAAGCGGTGTTTGCACAGCAGATTTTGTGTTTGGTAGATGTCCGTGTTGCGAAAGATGAGACCCCTTACAATTTCTGCTTTGTTCACACAATCAGTGGATTTTAACAAAACCTCTAGAAAGTGCTTCACCAGAGTGCAGGTTAAGAGTACAATCATACTGTTTTCACACTGGCAAAATTTTACTTAACCCTGGAGTCCTGGACTATAGTTGGGATTAATTAAGGGGCAAGTCCACTCCAAAAATAATTTACTTTCAATAGAAGCAGAAAAATCAGACAAACCAATCAAAAAAAGTTTGAGCAAAGTTTCAAGAAACACCAAGTATAATCTTATAGGAATGAAGAAATTTCATAATTTGCCTAAACTGCTGTTGTGAGTCTGTTTTTTTAAAAGAAGTCATATTTTCTTCAATATTGCCCTTTTCTTTCAAAACTATTTCTATTTTTTCCACTAGTTTCATTATTTCAAAGTGAATAAAAAGTACAAAAAGGTTATATTGTGTAATTTCTGAAGATCTCTTCCAAGTTTTACATCTATCATTCATAAACCTGCAGGAATGTTACTTATTTTTTCATTCTTGATCCTTCATAGAGACATACAGCTTTATTTCCCATAATTTCTCTTGAATGTCTGATTTATCTTTTTTTAAACTAGTTAATTGATTAATTCCACTTTTTATTTACATCCATTGCATACACAAATATCCATGTATCAAAAGGTATTTTCCTATGATTTGTTTTCATTTTCAACTCTGTTTTTAATCGGTAATATTTTGATTGTATCCCTCCTTTACAGATTATTCATAGAGACATCAAGCCAGAGAATATTCTGGTTTCCAAATCCAAGGTGGTCAAACTCTGTGACTTTGGCTTTGCCCGGACGATAGCCGGCCCGGGTGAAATCTACACAGACTACGTAGCAACAAGGTGGTACAGAGCACCGGAGCTACTCGTGGGAGATACCAAATATGGAAAGTAAGTAATGTTCACTGAGATTGAAGCAGAGCGCCTCACTTAATTTGGGGGGAAGGGGGTTCCAGATATAAATTTTGTCCAGTCTGTATACATGAGCCCCATGTAAAGAATTCTGGGGGTGTTTCACAAAGATTTTAAGTTGAACTTAACTCTAAGTTGGATTTAAAAGTTATGGAGAGCCATTTGAAGTATTAAAATTAAGTATATTCAAAAGCAAAAATTGAAGTATTTTAGACGTTTCATAAATTCCACATCAAGAACATGGAGTCTCCCATGATAAAAGAAAATATGATTTGAATCAACATTTATGCCTTTTTAAAATAACTTTTACAAAATATTTTCAAAGATGCTAATGGTTTTCCATAATTGTTAAGTCCAACTTAGAGATAAGTTCAACTTATGACCTTTGTGAAAAAAAACCTGGACTTTCGGAGCCCAAGTTTCCTTTTGATGGATTCATCATTTTGTTTATTCATTTAAAAAAATAAAAAAGAGTTATAGTATTTTGTACAGAATAAGATGCTTGATTTGTAGCACTCTATTGATTATTGGACTACACATACATGTAAATGAATAAAGTGGAATAGCTTTAACTTAAGTTTGCCTTTATGAATACAAGCCACTCAGTGTAGCGACCCTGTACACTCAATTTGGCAACCATGAACATCTATCTCTTAGTTCTAAGTGTCATCGCTCTGCTGTGAAGATAAACACTATACACCTCACCTCAATTACTTATTGTGTTTTAGTTAATTAAGAGTCTCTCAACATGTAAATGTGTGTTTAATTAATTGGAGGTAAACATGTCTCGGTGGAATGTGTTTGTAAGCCTGGAGATGGCAAACAAGAAGATGGTGCAAATAGCAAGTTCAAATAACGCTGTCTGTGTTCCAAAGAGAAGCAGCAATTAGCGATTTCCCACTGAACATTTCGTTTGATTACCTGTTGTTTATTTCACCTTCAAATTCATGTAAATGTGAAGAAATCAAAAGAAGAAAAAAACAAACCCCAAAACAAACATACAAAAACAAAACAAAAAATTAAGGATGTAGCAAATTAACTACTGAAGTGCTACAGGTAGCTACCGGTATTCAAATAACGAGTCTTTCTTGTTGGAACATGTGAAATCCATTATTGACCCAGATGTTGTCTTTGTGATAATATACATGTACAGTGTAACTTTGATTCTCTACATGCATGTGAACATGAAACACTAACAGTTAAAGTGAAGTGATTAGTAATTGTTGATGCCCATTACAAGACAGTCAGTGAATTATGCATGTTCACTTACTTGTAGTTACAGATATACTAAATGTTATTATATATGTTGAACCATTCTTCCGTATTTGGGTTATTGGATGAAGACTATAATGAATTAATTCCTTAAAATGCTGGAGCGCTGTAATGGCAGCTAGGGTAAAGCTGGGGTAATAATACCGGAGTGTTGGCTCACTTAGTAGAGCGTCTGCCTCACAACCGGGAGGTTGTGGGTTCGAACCCCGGCCACGTCATACCAAAAGACGTTAAAAGATGGGAGTTGCTGCTACCTTGTTTGGCATTCAACAATAAGGGATAGAGCAACGTTGATCTGGCGCTGCTTAGTGGCTGCCGGGCTCACGATCCATTTTCGGTTTAACTTAATAAAATTTGGAGTGGACTTTAAAAGATTATTATTACTATTATTATTATTATTATTATAACAAATGCGCCTCGGAATAGAATTTCTAGATAGACGGCGCTATAGAAATGCCTATTATTATTTGTATTATTATTATTAATCAACATCTAACCACCATTTTGTTTCATCTCTACAGAGCAATAGACTTATGGGCAGTTGGCTGCTTACAAGCTGAAATGTTGACTGGTGAACCCCTCTTTCCTGGTGATAGTGACATTGATCAACTCTATCACATCATTAGGTGCTTTGGTAAGTCTGAGAAAAGTGGTCAAGACTGGTGAAAAGCTCAGGCTTCACTTCAATGTCATTTATTTTATATATATTTTATTGGTTAACTCAAGGGGCAATTTTATTTGCCGGTCTGATTTAATTAACTTGTTCAAATAGAAAACACCTTAAAACTCATTATACACACTGTACATGTACGTGTACATGTGGATGCTTTTGTGTCAGGAATTCTGGAGGGTGTGAAATTAATAGATAAGGCAGTATAATAGTTCACATTAGAGCTAAATCTCCATTGTATATTGATATCTGTGGTACAAACAGTACATTATCTTGTGAGCGAGGACTTTGAAATGTGATATCTCTGATTAAAATACCAGAGTTCAAGGATATACGATCAGATTGCCGTTCTTTTTATTACGTTATTATTGCTTGTACATATCAAAGAGTTAAATAATTAACAAAACTTTATAGCACTTGTAAGCAATTTTGCGATATGGCTTAGTGACAAATGTCATCATATTTATAAAAAAAAAGATTTCATGTTTTACTTTGTACTGGTTCACATAGATAAGACTCTTGAGTACAGTATTTTCAATAAATGTATTTCATAGCAAAGTACAATTTGTTTAAAAAAAGATATTGGATATAAATATAAAGGTTGAATTATGATGATTTAATCAATTTTTATTGTATTGAATAATAATAGCTAAAACTAAATTATATCTGCCAAATGATTTGTGTACCAATAAATTTATCTAATATGGAAACCATAATAGTACTCAAGATGAAATGCAAAACAAGCAGACTCACACATATGTCAATAAGAGTGATCCAGTGAGCTTTTGTCAGTTTAGTTTCATGTTCTACATACAGTTCAACAGCAAACACTCCAATGTTAGTTGCTCTGCCTTCAAATTTGTTAACACTAACTTCACATGTACCAGGATCAAACACTATACCTTCACGAGTAAAACATAAATTTTAATCTGACCTACATGTACAGTACATGTAAAACCCCTTGCAGCTGTAGTAATCCAATTATTAAGTGAAACCTGTCTATAAAAGCCACCCAAGGGAGTCAAGAAAAGTGGTCTTTATAGGCAGGTAGTCTTTGTAGACAGGTGGCTATAATACATGTTTCAATAAGAAATCATTTTCAAAGGGAAACAAAAATGTGGTCTTTGTAGACATTGTGGTCCCTAATGCCTCAGTTACACCTTTGCGTATTTGGCTTGCGTATTCCTATTTCTTGATATCAAGAATTGAATTCTTTATATTAAGAAATGAATTCGTGATATCAAGAATTACCATTGCTTTACAACAGAAAATCATTTCTTGATATCAAGCAGTAGGAATAAATGTTAAAACGGCTTGCCATAAATACGCAGCAATACGCAAGCCAAATAAGCAAAGGTGTGACTAAGGCATTAAGCAGGGTTGACTGTACATTGTAATGCCTGGAGCAATTGTCGCTGGAGAGATATCCGGTCACCAATCCAAACAACCCATCTTAAAATGGTTCCATCTCTGTCCACAGGTACCCTGATCCAGAGACACAAAGAGATTTTCCTCAAGAACCCTCTCTTTGTTGGTATGAGGTTACCGGAGGTCAAGAATGTCGAACCCCTTGAGAAGAGGTTTCCTACACTCTCGGGTCTCTCCATCTCAATGATGAAGGTAAGGTTCAAAGTTTAAAGGTCATGGTTGATTTTTCTTTCTTTTTTCACATTAAGGGAAAATTGTTAAATTGCTTAAATTATTACTTGTAATAATGGATTTCAGAATTTTTCATTATGAAGCTTAATTGAAAATGAGAAGACAAACTGGTTTAATTTTGTTTTCAAATTTTTAAGTCACCAAGGCAGCCTTTATGATTATGTTTTTAAAGGGAAGGCGGGTGTGTCGAGAAACTATTCAGACACAAAAAGATAAAAGACCATAGCTCTATCATGATCCTACTGATTCACTCGTGGACTTCCATTTAAGCTGTTTAATATTCATTGCAAGCTTAATATCAGAGGCTGTTTCTTCAGTAAACATGTCATTGTAACATAGGTATCTTTAAGACTGGTCTAGATAAACACTGGCTTGCTAAAAATAATTTCATGTAACCTACGTCTTAAGTCGCAAACTGACGATTGAAATTATATCTTGAAAGACGACCGGTATACCTACAGGACTACCTCACTCCCGTATATCGATGATGATGATGATGATGATGATGATTTAAAGTACTAATCGCTGAGCTCTTTCACTTGCATTCTTTACACAGAGCTGTCTACACTTAGACCCCGACCAGCGACCCACCTGCACACAGTTCTTGAAGCATGAGTTCTTCAAGAAGGACGGATTCTGCGACGTCTTCCCCTCCGAGCTCAGTCTCAAGGTCCAGAAGGAGTTTGAGGGGAATCCCCTCCTCAAGTCTTTGCTTGGGGACGAAAAGGGAGACGAAGAGAAGAAACCCAAACACAGGAGTAAGAAGGTGAGTGTCCAATCATATCAACTTACCATGCGATATCGTGGTCGAGTGGTTTAAGGCGCTTGACTGGAGATGCGAAGGTTGAGGGTTCGAATCCCGACACAGCACTAATATCCTTTGGCAAGATATTTACCTGCACTTGCTACTTTCCACCCATGTGTTAAATGGGTACCCGGTAGGATGCGACCGTCGTTGGTCAAACAGTTTTTGAGCGTCAAGTACAACGCCTGGCTGGAATGCTGCCCAGGAAGTGGAGATAGCGCACACAGTGTGTGCGGGCAAGTATTGAATCCAATGACCAGGGTAATAGTATATCTGCATAGCGCTTACAGACATCATCTAGATGTGTTAAGTGCTATATAAAAGTGGAATTATTATTATTTTTGAAATAGTTTTGAAGCACTTGAATGTTGGAGAAATCAAAGTTCACAACCCATCTTCATTCTGTAAATCTGTTAAATCATTAACATTATTTCTTTAGAAAGGCAAGCACTTAAGTGGGAAAAAAGGTAAATGAGGTCATATTTAACTGCGATCTTGGAAAACTATTCTTACATTCTTCCAGATTGAAGTAACATTGTGTATCACTTTGATGCAGACTGTAAAAAGTGGAAAGAATATTTAGAAGGGAAAATTGCTGTGTGATAGAGATAGTGAAGATTTATTATCATCATCATTATTATTATTATTATAAGTCTTTTCTTTGTCTTTCATTTTACAGCAATCAAGTAGTGAAAAGTTGGAGAGAGAACGAGAAAAGGAAAAGTCAAGAAAACGTCACTCAGAGACAGAGAAACTAAAGAGGTCATCGACCCCACAAGGGATGCGCACCATGAAAGCAGCCCAAAGTATGATGTGAAGAAGGTATGTAGAAGAATCGTAATTGTATTTTTTCCCCAAAAGTTTTCTTATGTGGTGCAATTTTAGTTTATACAAGTTAAGTCATGAAGCCCGTCTGCACTAGTTGGCCAGGGGGAATAAGAGCTCCCTGCAAGGTCACTGACAGGTAGTTATCTCATCAAATCAACTCTCAATTAACATAAGAAAAAGGGGATCATGGGGGAGCAACAGGCACCGATTAGGCATTGTTTGCTATATAGAGGGCGCAAGTAGCTATAAATACTGCAATGGGGCTTTAAAGAAATTATTGTCATTATTAATACTATCACAATTATCATTCTTACCTCTACAGAGTAACCCGTCAACAGTGGCCGAGTCACAGAAGAAGTCCTCCACCATCGCCTCCACATCCAACACGTCTGGTCCTTCCATCCAATCCATCAGCTCGTCCAGCAAGCTTCCCCAGCACATAGGGGGTCATAACGGTCCCACCAACCACACCACCTCACACCCGTCAGGTCAGGGTTCAAGTCCCACCCAGACCACCATCAACCTCACCATGGGCAATATCACCTCCAACAAGTCCAACTTCACCTCCACCAATATGGCAGGTCCACCTCCATTAAGGTGAGTCAATATTGGTTTGTTTGTTTGTTCGTTTGTTTATTGGTTGGTTGGTTTGTGTGGTTGTGCTTTTTAAATATTAGTTTGGATAAATTGTGCAGTTGCGGAATATACTCACTTATCAGCAGGTAATTGTTGACAGCTGGGGGGCGTTTCACAAAGCCTCTTTTCAATGACAAATAACAAAAATCAGTGACAAATCTGCTGATATCCAATCAGAAGCAAGGATTTCAGTAGCTTATAACACAAATTGTTATTTGTCACTGATGACAAGTTTTGTGAAACGCCCCCCTGGTCATACTGGCAGTCTCTGAAAAGGGGGTACCGAATAGGCCAATAAAATTGGTTTGCTGTTTTGCGTAGGAATTTATATACCTCTATCAAAAAACCAAAACTTGTAGTAGCAAAGCATTTCTTTGACATGAAATGAAAGAAATCTGTAGAGCATACCATGAATGTATAGTCTAAATGTGCACTTACAAGAACAATATGCGTTGGAGAGATCGAGGGGCAAAGAAAGTAACGCAATCTAAAAAACCTGACCCTCCCCTCAAAAAGAAAAGAAAAAGCTGTTGGGAAAAATACCCAACTTCATGCCTGGAGTACCTAAACCTTATTTCAAACCTGACATAAAACCCAGTCACAACCGGATCCCTGACCTTCATCATAGATCTTTAATGAACAAAGCCTAGATTAGACGTTGCTAAAGCATTTTTAGGATCGTTGCTTAGTGCAAGCCTGACAATTACCCGATTTAAATTATTTTTTCTTCTTCAAAAAATGGACAGTCCCTGAGATTGATGTAAATTCTTGTAAAAATGTAACAAAAACGTTTTTTTTTTTTTTGGGGGGGGGGGGGGGAGGTGCCTTGCTTTGCTTGAACGTCTTGCGCAAGTGCTCGTATTTATAAAAACCTATTTTTTTATTTTAGCGCTCACTATCATCCCCAATAGTGACGTTAAATACATCATTATGTGATGTTCTCTTTTCAAGGAGGTACTATTACCAATATTACTATTATTATTGTAGACCCAATGACAAGATGACTAAGAAGTCCACCAACTCTTACTACAAGAAAGTTGGTGCGTCGGGCAGTGAGAAGACGATGATTCACGAGAAGACTCTCCAGTTTGATGCCATGATGTCCAGCCAACGCAAATCCAAGAAGGACGTCTCAAATACTTCGCCCCGGGAGAGCGATAGAGAAGTCACACACTTGCCAAACCTGACTGGAAAAGATGGTAATTTGACTATTTAAAGCTAAAGACCAGTTATGGTCATGCAATTGCATAGTGAAAGAAATGTTGTGAAATCGATCAGAAAAGGTTGATCATCTAGCATAGATGTACTGCAAGGTTCTGGAATCCTCAAAATTATAAGAAATTTGGCCAAGTCTTCATAAAGTTAGAAGGACTGTACACAGAAAGATGTATATGGGACTACACACACGTGCGCGACATGTGCATTTGTATCTCTCAGCAGAATATAGATATACTAATTTACCAAATATATCAATTAGTAGGCGGTTTCCCGTCAAAATTGTTATTGTCATGTAATATTAAAACATATTCTTTCACATGATTGGTAATAAGAGCTTCCGTTTCATTTTTTGAAATTGGGGCGTTTCCAATACTGGTCTTTACCTTAAAGATGAGATTGTTTAGTGGTACCGTGGTGGTGTTGGGCACTGATTGTAGAATTTCAAAGCAAAGCAAAGAAAAATATATGAAACAGTGTGGCTACTTTGAAGAAGAACTGTAATGAATTTAGCCTTTGATAAATTCTGTGTAACCCTAAACCAAAGAGAGAAGTTGCAAAAAGTCACTGTCCCGACTTCCCAAAGGATGTTTAAACCTTAATAAGCATAGGATGCGCGTGTCCTCCTGTCCAAAGGTCACTTATATGCTTAATGATTATGCGCTTATTTTATTCCATGGCGGAGGTTTGCACTCTGGTTTGAATCTGCCACAAATCTATGACAAATCTGTTTGTAGCCAATCAAATGTAAGGATTCCAGTAGCTTATAACAGTTATAAATGTTTAGATTTATGCCCGGTGCTATGCCTGGCAATGTCTCCCAGCTCAGTAATGTGTGTGTTGACTCACCACCACTCGGAAACTACAACAACACTCAAATTTGTCTGTCATCTTGGTTTGAAAGTAATCTTTCTAACAGACCTCAATATGTAGTTTATAATAATAATTCCTCAAATTTTCTTCTATTACACATGGCGTACCACAAGGTTCTATCCTAGGTACTCTGTTTTTTTAAAATTTACATTAATGATCTTACACATTCTTCTAAAAACGACATTGTTACTATTATTTGTGACGAGTTTGCAAGCATAAATTAAACAAATAAATAAATAAATCTTTTTCTTTCCCCCCCCCCCCCCCAAAAAAAAATAGGGGTGCGCCTTACACACAGAGATTTACCGGATCTTGTCGTTGATAACATGTTTTGTGAAGCAGGGCCCTGTCTGACACACCTCCCAATTTTGTGTTCATTTTTATATAGCAAAGACATCAGAGCGTCAGGAAAAGAAGCTCAAAGCAAAGAAGAGTCACCATACCACTATGCCTCAGATTGCCAACCAGTCCGACCATGGAGGTCATGGGTTCAACGCCAATGCCTCCTACTCGTCCACGGATCACAACCTACCTGCAGTATAGTGAAGACATTTCATGGAAGGGCGACTTGGAAGTGTAGCGTGTCACATTTCCCCAGCTGTATAAAAAGACTTACCGCATAGCCGGTCAAACTGCCACTTCAAAGCAACATGATGTGGAATAGGATTTGCCTTTGGAATTCATGTATGCTTGAAGCAGGACGTATTTGATCTGGAAATGGCTCAGGAGCACCAAGTGCTTTTGTGATACCGATCAGATGATTTAAAATCATTTGTAACGCAACAAAAAAGAATAATATCGCCAGAAAGTCTAGAATGGGTGCAGAAACTGCAAATTAGGATGAAATGTGTGAACGAAATGGATTTCTGTTTTAAGAGATTGCTCTCAAACGTTATTGCCCCAAAACTGGGAAATTAAAAAAAAAACTAATGGTGTAAAATCAGAATCATATTATCATTTGAAAATGTGCTACCTGCAGCAGCTTATGCACTTCTTCCAGATATGAGAAAGTATTCTTGGTAAGGTATTGGCGCTAGTCCACCCACTGAATTCTTCCAATCCATTCGATCTGCAGACAAATTTGAGCTTATTAGGTCATCCAGTCTACACCAAGGGCCAAAGATGAGAGTTCTATCCCACCTAGTCCTGCTCTGTGGAATCTTTGAGACAATCAGAAGTCTTTCTGTGCCGTGCACCCGTCTTTGATCATGAATGAACTACGCTTCCGAGGCTTCCCAAAACAGATGTACCAAAAGTTATTGTGTTTGGAAAGCTCCAACGTGATTTATAGCTAAAGGTGTGCTGCTCTTTTAAGTTGTTTCTTGTGGATAGCGATCACAACTGGCATTTCTCCACAAGCAGAGACATTATAGTGAGCTGCCTCACCGTGCAGTTGGTCAATTGCCTGTGAATTGGATAGCTTTGAAATGATGCTTCAAGAAATCAAGCAAGAGCCATTATGTTGTGTTTCGATAATAAACATATTAGCCTGAGCAGAAACCTGAGAGAGAGTTTCCAAACAAGTTTGTTTCTTTTGCAGAGATGAAAACACCAAGGGAGCTCTAAAACTAGTGCAAATCTTGTGTCTCAATTCAAAACGTCGTCTTCACCAAAGAACCCAAAGAATCAGGAATTCCATCAACTTTGACATGAAGGTCACACTTCAGGTCATGTGACTGCACATGAGACCAATTATGAACAGGTGACCTTCCAGCATAGCGGCTTAATATTCACGTTCATCAATTAAGCTGAGAGTTCAGTCCAAACCCACTGACACTCCAGTTCATGTGATTGCACATGTGACCTTCCTAGACTGATCAGGTGACACTCCTGAATGCAGCTTAAATATGCCCCTTTCAGAACATGCAACATTTATCACTGTAAAGTACTTTTAAAAGAAAGGGTATGCAATAATATTAATTACTTGAAGTGCTCGTTGTACAAAAGAAATATGTACTCCAAATTTTTCTAAGCATTATCACCTCTTTGTGAGAAACTTGGCTTTCATTTATATTGCAAGTTTGTCTTGAAGTTGTCTTCACTATACAGCATTACTTTTCCTCGATCTGAATTTTGAATTTGTAAATAAAAGTTAAGTATTATGGACAGACCGATTTACTTAATGAAAATCTTTGTTGCTATTTTTGCTGAATAAAAAGATGTTGCTGTCGAAAGAATGCTTAAAGAAATAGAGAATTAATATTTGTGAGACAATATTTACATATGTACCATTTAGTATGATTCTAGATAGTACTAAATTGTTAATGTTTCTGCTATCACGATCTTACGGCTTCCTATGGATTTTTTTTGTTACACGAAGTGTGAAATTTGAGATGGGCCCAGCTGTCTGGGTCTATTTCTGGGATTCACTTTTTCCTTTTCTAAATTTACCTTGCTTTAATTGACATTTCAGCAGTTTGTTGTCTTAAATTGCATCGTGCTTTCTCTTAGTGGATTCTCATTTGAAAAAAAACATGACAACTTTCAATTCATCAAAGTCTTCAAAGTTTCTATTCAGTTTGAATTTGAGCGTGCAAGCCCACCGAATAGGCAATTTTTTAATTTTGACCGAAAAGTATCTCCAGCTTTGCAAGGCCACATAAGTATTATATTTCCCTGGTATTTTCACATTTAAATATCTTGAAAGCGTCATTTTTCTTCTCACTCTGGGCTTTTGATGTTTTTGATCAATTATTTGATCAGAGAATAAGTATTGGTCCAAATTTGGTCACTAAATTTCATAACTTTCAACTACATGCACTTTTTTCTAAATAATTGATAATACTTGTTAGATAATATGAAAGATTTTGATTCTTTGTTTCATGAATGTTCTTGTATATACATGTAGCATAGCAAAACATTTATAACTTTTAAAAAGTGTGTACTTGGGGTGTATATATCTATTTTCCATGTTTTTGTATTAAGTGAAAATTGCTGAAATGTTTGAATCTTTCTGTACTAAAGGAACCTCATACATGTAAGTGTTGCTGCTTGTATGCAGTCAACCAAGGGATATCACATTATCATATGCGGTTGAATGTAATTTATATGCTTTGCATGGTTGATGTAGATTTTTAGTATGTCAGGGGGTGTTTAATAAAGCTGTTCGCAAAGTTACGCATGACTTTACGAATGACTTAAATATGAAAAGCCTAATGGGGTGCTCAGATAATTTGTAACTGCATCAACAAAAGTTGAACTGTGCAGATATAGATTAACATTCTTATTATTACAACATTTTTAATGCAAAGTATATTTTTTGCCATAATTTATTGAGGTTATTGGAAATATAGTCACACTTTGTTAAAACATCAGGAAAAACTTTGGGCATCATATCTGGCACTTCATATGCCAATTGTTCGTACAGTCAGGCGTAACTTTACGAACAGCTTTATGAAACACCCCCCCCCCCCCCCCCCCCCCCCCCCGGTCAAAGTTCACAACAGATGCAGGTCAAAAGGCAATCTATCGTACATGTATCCAATTTGGGAAGCAGTGTGGGTATCAAAAAACATCCTTTTTCCACTTTGGGCTTTTTACCCTCCACTTTTGCCGACAGTTTTTATACAGGTCTTTATGTTTTAGCTCACATGTGAGTCAGGTGCTCACCCCCTTCCCCCCCCCCCCCCCCCCCCCCCCCCCATTTAAATTTTACTGGCCCACTCATTATTTTTTTCCAGGACTTGAATTTTTTTAGGCTACTTTGATAAATATTTATTTTCCGATTGGCAACGTTGGTATTTTAGGTTGTATCAACTTCTGTTTTTTTATATTGTGTATTTGAACAGAATACACATGGACAGAAACTGTTGAAATAGTAAGGAAAACCTAAACCAACATTGTATGGAAAAACAAAATGTTATACCGGTACCTTGTTTTTATGTTGTCTAGCTAGGAATGTTAATGGTTATTTACAGTAGAGGTGTCGTGGACGAGTGGATATGTCACCGGACTGTGGATCACAAGGTTTGCGGTTCAAGTCCCACCGCGGCACTAATGTCCTTTGGCAAGACATTGATCTACATTTGC